TATAATCTAAATTTGCAATTATAAAATATTAAGACAATGTATAATCACTTATTGTCTGACTCTCTACTTCCCTAGCAAAGTCACCAAGATGCCATAACGTTTCCCCTAACAACTCAGTGACGAGTTGGATCAGTTTGACTTGAAATTTTTAATTTGAGAAAAGGTGGTGAAATTTAGGTTTTAAAACAATTTGATTTGATGTCTCCATCGACCTTTCGGTTAGAAAGGTTGAATACCTAAAAATATCTTTGGTTTTAAAACAATTTGATTTGATGTCTCCATCGACCTTTCGGTTAGAAAGGTTGAATACCTAAAAATATCTTTTTAATGAATTTTAGAAAAATCATTTAAAAGATAAAAAATAGTATGCGTTTTACCAAAGATTCATTTTTAAGAGTTCGAGAGTCGATTGTGCTTGGGAAATGATGATGTTGAGAAAACATTTTGATATTTCCATATAAAAAAAATGGTTAATGAATTTTAAGATTTTATATTCGATCTAAAATTATATATTCAATTCAATTATTCGAATATAAAAAATATTACTCCAAGTTTTCAAATATCAATTTTACTCCTTACTTAAATGAAAAATTGTATTTCACTCTTAAAATATTTTTGGAACAATTTTTACAAAGTATTTCGAACCTTAATCGAATCAAAAATGGGTTTTAAATAGGGATGTACCGATACCTCCTTAGAGAGTATCGATTCCCCTCAAACATCGAATGCAAAAGAGGTACGGATACCCCATAGGGTATCAATACCCCTTTATATAGAGGTACCGATACCTAGCCAGAATGTATCGATACCCCTCATTTGATTTTGACTCCGAGAAATAACAAAATACAATATGTGTATTGATACCATGATAGGTATCGATACCTATTTGCATAATAGTATCGATACCCCCTTGAAAGGTACCGATACCCTTGGTCTTGCAACGGTCGAAATATTTGAATTTTATACAGGTAGTATCTTTACCCCTATGAAGGTGTATAGATACCCATCGCTCCCAACAGCTTTTTGAAGTAGATTTTACACCACAATGGCTCTATTGACTTCACCAAAGATCCCCGACATCTAGAATTGACTGAGGTGTATTTAAACAAGTTCTTGGAGCCATTAATGAAGAAGAAAAGCTAGAGAAATAAAAGAGAAAGCCTTAAACATCAAGTTTGAGAAATTCAAGCCAAAATCCTCTCAATATTCATTTTGCATTCAAGAACACAAATTGTGCTCAATTGTATTCATCTTTGAGCGTCCTTTCTTTGTTATAGAATTGTGCAAACATTCTACTTTGTGAGGTTTTTCTGTAAGTTTACAAAGTTTGTAATTTTCTCTTTGAGAGAGAGTGTTCTCAAGAATTTCGGGTATAATTCTTGAGGGAGTTGTAAGGTTACTCTTTTTCCTCAAAAGAAAGAAAAATTAGTGAATTTGTGGAAAATCCTTAGTGTGGATAGCTAAGGTAGTAGATGTAAACTTTGGTTGAGAAAGTCGAACCACTCTAAATCGCAGTGCAAATATTTTCAATTTTCTGTCAAAGCTTCCACTAAAATTTCAATTGCCAATTCATATCCTCTTGACTGATTCATCCAATTGATTAACTCAACAATTGATATCAGAGCTACACTTTTTTGAAGGTTTTACCACCTTTTGAGTAGATTCGGGAAGAGTTCAATCGATATTCAAGTCATCAATGACCTCTACATCAAACTTCGACTTCATTCTTGATTATCAGCCCGTCAACAAGCATTCTTTCTTCAATTGAGCTAACTATAACTATTGGAAGATTAAGATTAAGTTCTTCATTCAAGATAGTGACATGGGAGCATGGAAAATCATGATGAACGGATACTCTGAACCATCCACAAATTCGAATATGTGGAGTGAATAAGAGACAAGATTATTCCAGCTCAACTCAAAAGTATCCATATTATTTTCTATGCACTTGGACCAGATGAATACGAGAGAGTATCATCTTGTACAACCACCAATGAGATATGGGACAAACTACAAGTCACACATGAAGGAACTAACGAGGTATAAGAATCCAAAATTAGCCTTCTTACTCATAGCTATAAAAATTTCAGGATGAAACCAAATGAAGATATCAAAGCTATGACGAATAGATTCTTGGTGTTTGTTAATGGCCTTAAAGCATTTGGGGAAATAATCTCCAACAAGAAACTCGTGAGGAAGATAATTTATTCTCTTCCAAAAGCTTGGCAATCGAAGAAGATGACGATTATCGAAGCTAAAGACCTAAAGTCTTTAACTCTCGATGAGCTCATTGGTTCTCTCCTCACTCATGAAATGATGATTCAAGATGAGGTAAACCTCAAGAAGAAGGAACATACAAAGAAGGAGACGGAAAAAAAGAAGAATGTTGGTGTTGCTCTTAAATCCACGAAAGATGAGAGTGACTCTGACCATAACGAACATGAAGAAATTGCCTTGCTTTCTAGAAGACTCAAAAAATTAATAAAGCCAAATAGAGGAAGAAAATTCCAACGATATGAAGGATTCCAAAATGAGTCAAAGGAGAATGACCCAATCATTTTCTATGAATGCAAAATGCTCGGGCATGTTAAATACGATTGCCCACAATTGAAGAAGAATGGTCTTTCAAAGAAGAAGCATAAAGCACACGTGGCTACTTAGTGCGATGACGAATCATCCGATGAAGAGGAACAAGAAGTAATAAACATGTGCTTGATGGCCTTCGGGGAGGATTCTCAGGTAACCTGTAACTCATCCAATTTAGAAGATTATTCATTTGATGAGTTATTAGAGGAATATAATGGGTTGGCTTCAGATTATGAGAAATTATTTTCGAAATACAAGAAAGATATTTCAAAATTGAAAAAAGAAAAAGATCTCATATCCAAGACCAACATTGAACTAGAATTTTCTAAAGTTTATGATGATCATAAAAAAGAAATTGATGATCTTAAATCTTCTTTCAATAAAGTTGGATCAAAACGTTTTAAAAAGGAGAAAGTTTAAAATCCAACTATATTAGAAAGAATTTTAAATCTTACAATCATAGAGGTCCCCAAAGAACCTCCAATGGTAAAATCGTTAGGAGTATATGGGTTCCTAAAGAACTTAATACTACTAAAGATAAGGATATCCTAAACAAATGTATACCCAAGGGGACAAGACTTTTAGGGACTAACGAATATGGACCCAAAAGAATTTAGGTACCAAAAATTAGAAATTAATCTACGTTTGTAGGAAAAGAAGCATTGCTTAAAGGCACGAAATTCAAGTTCAAATACATGGTACCTTGACAGTGGATGCGCAAGACACATGACCGGAGACAAGAGCCGGTTTACTAAGCTTAACGATAAAAATGGAGGAGTGGTAACCTTTGGTGACCACTCAAAAGGTTACATTGTAGGTATAGGTACTATAGGTAATACCTCTTCCACACAAATAGAAAATGTATTATATGTGAATGGGTTAAAGCATAATGTACTAAGTATTAGTCAAATATGTGATAAAGGATACAATGTCTTGTTTGAAACAAATGGTTGTAAAGTTATTGACATTGCATCTAATCGGATTATGCTTATTGGTCATAGAATAAGAAATATTTATATGGTGCATTTAGATTCTATTAATATGACTAATTTATGCCTAGTTGCCAAGGATGAACATGATAGTTGGTTATGGCATAGGAGACTAGGACATACAAACATGAGTGTTTTGCAAAGACTAATTCAAGGTGATTTAGTAAGAGGGTTGCCAAAGCTAAAATTTGATAAAGATAAAATTTGTGATGCATGCTCAAAAGGAAAACAAAAGAAAATTTCTTTTAAATCCATTAATGATGTATCAACTAGTAGAGTATTACAATTGATCCATATAGATCTTTTTGGGCCAATTAGAACTACTAGCTTGGGTGGAAAACAATATGCATTTGTATTGGTAGATGACTATTCTAGATATACTTGGGTTCCATTTTTAAGTACTAAAGATGAAGCTTTAGAAAATTTTATCAAGTTTTCAAAAGTAATCCAAAATGAAAAGGTTACTCCATTTCAAGTGTTAGGAGTGATCATGGTACTGAATTTGAAAATTTTGGATTTACTGATTTTTGTAATTCAAATGGGATTAACTATAATTTTTCAGCATCTAGAACCCCTCAACAAAATGGAGTTGTTGAGAGGAAAAATTGAACTTTAGAAGAAATAACAATGCTTTGTGACTTGTGTGGCGTGGTCTTCAACTGAGGTGACTGGCGTGGGGGTTGTTGTTGTTACCACCGACGGTTGCTTCAACTTCATCAATGGCGCAGACTAGGGTTCTTTAGCAACCCTAATTTCTTTTAGGTCAGAAACACATGATGCTTCCTTGTATTGGGATGAGTCTTTGATTTGTAATGTTTGGGCTACAAAATAATAAAAATAAACATTAGTATTTTTTTTAATTAAAACGTATTTATATATTTATATGATTATAAATTAATATAGTAATAGTCATCCCTTATTTATTTATTTATTTAATAGCTCAATGTGATTAATAATTAATCTAATTTAATTAAAAAATCTAATATATTGGTTTAATATTAATATTAAGTAAATGATAATTTTAGAAACTTAGAAATAAAAACTCGGATCAAAGTTGAGACAAAGATGAATGTAGACAACAAGCTCTTCTAAAACTCAATATATTTAAATCATCACAAGATGGCTTCTATAAGTCTTAATTTTGATGTCAATTATATATATATATATAAATGTTTGAAATCAACTTCTTTATCATTTCTCAAACCTTTTTATGCTTTTTGATACTTCAAGTATGACTTTCCTAACGGAATAAAAATTAAAAAGAAAAAACATAAATAGAATTTTGAGCACTGTTGGGCTAAAAAATAGGTTGGGCCTAAAGTTTTAATATTGATTGGGGATTTACTTCCCTAAAGAATAGGAACTTTAAACAATAGTATTTGACATGTGTGTAAACACAATAAAGCCTTGCCGAAGCCCATAAAATTCATTCAACATTTTTAAAATTTATTTATAAATAGATGTACATTTTCACACTTTAAATCTACCTTTCTCATCATTTTCTTCTGGTTTTCCTTCGAGCTTGATACACTTGTACCATCGGGCACATGCTATATACACAACCAAATCAATTGTAGTTAGACCAGCTAATAGAAAGTAAAATCTATCCAAGTGACCCTTATTTAGATTGCCTGGTATCCATCCTGGCATATGATCTTCAGTTGAAATCTTCATCACCATCGTCACCAGCAAGCTACTAACGTAGTTCCCCAACGATATCGACGTCATGCAAAGAGCACTGCCGAAGCTTTTCAATCCATCAGGTGTTTGTGCATTGAAGAACTCGAGCTGACCGACGTACATAAAAACCTCGGATGCTCCAATGAATGCATATTGAGGAACTTGCCAAAAGATACTTAAGGAGCTTGACCCTTCACAGTGGATGCAATCTTTGTTGGCATGCTTTAATCTATAGCATTCCACAATCCCAGCAGAAACCATTGCCAATACAGCTATAACGAGGCCGATTCCCATTCTCTGAAGCTCGGTGAGTCCCCTCAAATCCTTTTTCCTCAGGCGGCCCACCAACGGGTCGAGAACTCGTCGGTAAAGAAATATGAACAATGCGACACTGAGAATGTCGAAGCTGGACATACTCGCGGGAGGAATCCGGAGATTCAAGACGGTAACTTTCATCGCTTCACCTTGCTCGACGAAGAGAGATGCCATTTGTGTGAAGACAACGGAGTAAATAATGGTGCATAGCCAAATTGGAAGTAATCTTAGTATGCATTTAACTTCTTCAACTTGTGTGACGGGACAAAGACGCCACGGGTTGTAAATTCCCCTCTTTTGATCATCAACATCTCTTGTGCTTACGTATGCTGCTCTGTCCAAGAACCTGTACAAGATCAGTTAATAAATTAGCATTATGTTACTCGTATTTCGATTAGCTATATAATGTTACAACTAGGCATGGTTCGACATTTACTTGAATTCATTGGTGTAGAGAATCTTCCGGTTTCCGTTGACAGACGAATCATTCGCATCGACACCAAAGAAGCTATCTGCATCAGATGGCATATCAACGCTGCATTTCTTGGTTGCAGCTACTAGTACTTGACTGAACCTGCAGATAGGGTTTCCACTTGGTCTGAAGTGCCTGTACCTGGTGGTTCCAACAAGGAACAAAACAAGTGCTGCCAAAGCAGAGGCGGCAGACACCCAGAATCCAAGTGCCCACATCCCTTCATCTTCAAAATACCCCAAAATGGTATTGGAGAAAAGTGATCCGAGGTTCAAAGCAAGGTAAAAGTAGCTAAAAAATGAAACCTTAGATTGTCCTTCCTTGGGGTCATCTTCATCAAACTGATCAGCCCCAAATGTAGCAATGTTAGGCTGGTACCCTCCATTCCCTAGTGCAACCAGGTAGATAGAGAGGTAGAATAACGCAATCTCCAAGCCTGAATGTGACCCGCATGGCATTTCTTGATTCCCACAGCCTCTTGGTCTGATTAAGAAAATGTATGATGATAGAGACAGTGACACCAAACCCTGGTGGTTGGAAGATCATTATCAGGGATTATGCAATTTCACAAATGGTTTCTAATTTCGGAATCAGATGAGTTAACTTACAATAACAAAGATGACTTGGAAGATGGCACAAGTTTTGTATCTCCCCCAGTAGGAATCACTGAGGAAAGCACCAACAAGGGAGAAGATGTAGACGGTGCCGGTCCATTTGCTGACATTGTTAGCAGCAGCAGCATTGTTTTGCCCCAACACTCTCGTCAGGAAAAGCACCAAATTCACCCCCACACCGAAGAATGCTAGGGTTGCTAGCCCTTGGTTCACTGGTTCACCATTCACCAAAGAAAAAAAAAATCAATAACACAACGAAGAAGACCAAAGAGGCAGCATGGGATTTTTGTTTGTAAGGTAATTAGGGGGACCGTGGAAAGAACAGCATGGGATGATTGCTTGCCAGGAATGTCTTTTCCCTTGATAGAATGTCTCAATTATTGTCGTTTAGTTTAGCAGTAGCACTGGCAAAACAATCAACAGGCTGTTGCTTCCAAACTCTATTAGAGCTTCGAACACATGCAAAATCTTACACGTTTCTTCATTTATATATATATATTAGGAAAATGATATCGATGTTTATTGTCGTCATGTTTATAAAACAAATCAACATTACTTATACTGAAATCATTCTTTTTAAACCTCACAATAATCCTTTTTTTCCTCCCATTTTCTGTTATCTGTAAGCCCTACTTTTCCCCTTTGATAGCTTATTATATATTCTAAGCTATACATATCCATATTTTCCGCAACGATAACTCTCTAAAAGCATCTCATCATACCACTTTTATATAATTAAATGGTGACTTCTAATATATTAGCGGACAATGTTTATATGATCCACGGATTGATGGTAAATAGAAGTACATACGGTTCTGAACCAGGGATTTAATTACGGCTATGTTACATTTATTGTAATTGCGAATATAATGGATACTATTACGATCAGTATAAGTATCACCATCGTGCAATAATGATTTAAATTTTTGATCTGGACGCATCCATCCAAGTTATGAGATCAGAAGCAGTTCTATATGATCTTTGGAAAGCGACACTCAGCTTTTTAATCTCAACTATATATTTTCACTCCTCTTTCACTCATCCAATGGTTTTAAATTTGTGTAAAATTCTAAGAGTTTTACATTGTGTAACAGGATTTTATCCTATATGTATGTATATATAATGGGGGAAAGGGCAAATTTTGCTGAGCTTACAGAGAATGATAGTTCCAGCAGTCCATTGTCCGGATTTTGCTTTGATTGCAGGGTGGCCATGCCAATCCATAGTTCCATCTTGAGTGCATGCTTCTTCTTCTTCCTCTTTCAGCTCCACCTGCTGTGTGTATATATATATATATATGCAACATAATAAATATCATAGAGAAAACATGAACTGTAATGCTATTAACTAACATTGCATGAATGCATCCACCGTGTTTTTGCATCCAAATATGAAGAAGATGGAAAAAGGAGAACTTGACTGACCTCCTTGAAAACCTCTGTGCAAGCCATTGATGTTTCTTGACAAAAAAAAGTGAGAAATTTATATGTAGAAGATGAAAGGAAAGGGAAGGTAATTAATGTTGTGAGGAAGAAAAGAAGATGATGATCACTAAGGGGGAGAGTTTGGGAGAGCAAGGAGGAGAGGATGGTGAATAAATAGAGGTGGGGATGGTGATATCAACGGTGGAGATTTTGTATGGGGAAAAGAGGGGGATTGTCCACATGGACAAATCATCAAAGAGAAAATATTACAAGATATGCATAATGTTTTGATTGAGAGAAAATGATGGTTTTGGGGGGTAGGGGATGTTTTTTAACGTATTATTAATTCTCCAGTAGTTTGGATTGATGAGGAATTTGGGATCCCTCTTCAACTTTCATTAACCGTCACTTATTTGGGTTTATTTTATTTTCACATTTAACACAATTCTTTTATATTTGTACCAATAATTAGTCGGCCTATTGGGATGAGTCACTAGATTTTTTAAATAATGTTAGGAGGTTTGAACCATGACGTTTGTGAATGGAGCAAATATGATTAAGAGAGTTGCCTTCATACTATGCCTATTTAAAACTCGATCTAAATTAGTAAATCAATAGATCATATATCAATAATTAATTCAAATGAATAAGAACCACCCTTCCCAAATGGGTGTTGACACTTCACAATATATTTTCTAAAATATATTATTTTAAAAATAATATTGTTTTTAAACTTCATTAAGTTTTAAAGTTAAAATCTGAAAAAGATAATAATCATTTTTTAATTACAAAGATCACTTGATTTCGACATAAAATTTAAATTAATAATTATTTAAATATTATTATTTAATAATATATAAATATAATAATTGATCATGATTTATAATTATAACATTCTATTTTATCAGTTCACGTGATTCTAAAATCATTCCAACAACCTAGACTGATCGCAGAGATGTGCTTTATTTATTTAACTTTTTTTTTTGGGATGCAAAATTTGATCCTTCTCTTTAAGTGAAAAAATAAAACATTAATTGTTCAATTATCATGCTGAGTATATGTAGCTGGTTTCTTTTTTTCTTTTTTAATTAAATGGTGGTTAGAGTGTTTCTATCAGTAAATTTTGAGATTTAATCTTTTTTGGTATATTTTTATATATTTTTTGAATTGTTTAATGTAACTACAAAATAATATTTTTATTTTATTTTATTAATAATATAAAACATCGTTTTATATTATTAATAAATTCAGAAAATGAATTAATTAAGGTGCTACCTAGTTTTACAAGTCTGATTCTACATTGATATTTGTGGACTGGAGATTGTCACCCACATGCACGTACGGTGTAAGATTAAGAACAACAAAAGGACATGGATCATGTCGGCTTTCTCTTAAGATTCTTCTTGGCTATACCCATATGTATATATTATATATAAATAAACGAACACCTATAGGAGTTTTTATTCAAGGAAAGAAAAAAAAGTTTAAACCTCGTAGCAAGTACTTGAAAAATACATATGGAATAAAACTCTATTACATGAAAAATTATTTTAATTTTATATATATTTAATATCGTTGGATGAATGAAAATAGATAATTGAGTTTAACCATAGAAAATGAAAAGATATTCACTGGAAAAAACGAGTCAATCTCTGCTATCTATTCTCACTCATCCAACGGGCCTAAATATGTGTAAAATTATATAGGGTTATGACCCACTTACACAAAGTAAACACAGATTTAGGCCCGTTGGATAAGTAAAAATAGATGATTGAATTAACTCTTTATTTCTTTTTTCAATGAATATATTCTCATTTCCTAATGTTAGTCTCAACCATCTATTTTCACTCATCCTACGGTCCCAAATCTGTGTAAAACTAAAAGAGTTTTATATTGTGTAACAAGATCTTATCTCATATTCATATATATATATATATATATATATATATATATATCAAATAAATAATTGAATTATCACCAACAATTAGTTAGTTTAGTGAGATGAGATAATAGATTCCTTAAGTAAGGTCAAAAGTTTGAATCATTATATTTGTGAATGAAGTAAAATGGGTTGGGAAATCATCCCTATAATGAGTTTCTACAAAATTTGATCTGGAATAATTGATCAATAAATCGTATATCAATTATTAAAGAAAATGAATTATCAATAGGTTATCAAAAAATATTAAAATCAATATTAAAACATTAATAGATTTCTTGGTTACTTTATATGAAGCTCATCTAAGCTTGCACTTATGGACATTAATTTTACAGCTTATAGTGCTCTTAATCCTTATTTCAGCCATATTTGTTTCATTAGGGGTGTATTCGGTTCGGTTCGGTTCGGTTTTTTACCAAAAACTGAACCGAACCGAAATAAACGGTTTTTCAATATTTAAACCGAAACCGAATAGTTAAAAAACCGAAAAAATCGAAACTGGTTTTTCCGGTTCGGTTCGGGTTTTTTAACAGTTCAGGTTTTTCGGTTCGGTTCGGTTCGATTTTTCGGTTTTTCAATGAAAAAATCACTTGAAACTATATTTTTTTTTACAAAAATTGCCTATTTGGTTCAATATGGAACAAATGGGTTCCATATGGAAAACCCGAACCGAACCGAATCAAAAAAATGAAGTCTTTAAACCGAACCGAAAACCGAACCGTTTAAAGCCAAATCGAACCGAACCGAACCGTTTTACTCGGTTCGTGTCGATTTTTCGATTTTCTCAGTTTCGTTGCTCACCCTTAGTTTTCATTGATGTCTTAGAACACTAATATTATAACCCTATATCAATACAAAATGGGGAAAAGAGAAGACAGACAATTATATTAACGACAATTCCTTCAAATAATGCGCGGGGCACCATTAGCAGTACCCAAAATAATAATAATAATAATAATAATAATAATAATAATAATAAATTCTTTTCATCTCTCAACCATATTTAAATTTAAGATTTATATTTTATGTAAAACGACATGTTTTCCCCTCAAATGTATTTGATATATTTTTTCCTTTTTTTTCTTCAACAAAATGATATTGTTTTCTTCTCAAGTACATTTGATATGTTTTTTTTTTCAATTTTCCTCCAAATAAAATGATGTTGTTTTGGGTTATTTCACATCTTTATTGAGTTAACAATTCATTCGACTAAAATTCAATATTATAATTGAACTAATTAAAAAATTAATGATATAAATGATATAACACCTAAAATTCAATGACATCTTATGTAATTTACCTTTATTTAGTTACTTCTTATTATTTATGATAAACTATACTTGTGGCCACTTAATTACGGAAGAATTTTAATCTAATCATTGATTTTTTAATTTTATCAATTAAACTAAACTATTTAAATGATGTAAGTTAAACACAAACCATTAAAATTTAACAGAAAAGATAATGTGGTAGTTAAAATAATTGGTATAACTAAATTTAATAAATTATATTAAATTAGGATCAAACTGATAGAATGCGTAAATAAAAATGATTACAATATATAATTACACCAAAATTTTAACCATTTTGTTACATTTTTCTCAAATATTAACTATTGATGATTTGATTGATATTATTTAAATAATTAAACGATTTACGGACATAAATTACAATTGGTTTTATTGTTAAAATAAAATTTTAGTTGTGAAAGTTACAACACAAATCCACCAATAAACACGGGAAAGTCTAAGAAGCAACAATCTAATTTAAAATTAAAAAACGATAATTTTAGGATACAATAGAAAATGTGATAAAATCATAATATTTTAGGTTGGACATAACTTAAAATTTTACTTTTTCCTAACAATTTTCAATTTAACCGAAAATATTACATTTTCATAACATTTTCAATTGACAACGAAAGATGTTACATTCTTCGTAATATTTTAAATTCAACATAAAATACTAATAAAAAAAGTAACATTATAAGTTATACTCAACTTAAAATATTATAATTTTTATCAAATTTTAAATTACACCTTAAAATCGTAATCTTTCAACAGAAACAGAGTAGGCAGAATCTGATAGTGCAATGCAGGTCGTATTCTATCACAACCTGTCCCATCGCACTAACTTACCATGGCATCCAAACCAGAAATCCTGGGGTTGTCTCAGGAAAGACGGGTTAATATACGGCTAATATACAACATTACCGGATACATTAAAATGTATTTAATAAATTCGGTTTAGCGGTACCTATTATGTTGACAACTAATAATGTTTTAGGTAGAAAATATGAAAAACTATTAAAAAATTTGGTAACCGGTAAACTTTGGTTATCGGTAAGTATCTATCTTTTTTATAAAAGTGTCCATACGTTTAACATATTAAGTAAATTTTACCGGTTTTGTCATAATGAATCTGGTTTTGTCATATTTTTACCTGTTATATTGTAAATTATCTATCCTTTTTATAAAAGTGTCCATACTTATTTCACTGTGAAAATATATTTATTATTATCTTTAGTTAATATTGTTAAATTTAAAATCTAAAATATTTTATAAAATATCAAAACAATCAAATAATTTTTTGTGTAATGAAATTATTAAATTAATATTGTAGGTGGAAAACATGAAACACTATTAAAAAAATTGAAACATAAATTACATAACCTTCAAAAAAGTATATATCATTTTATAAAAGTGTCCATACTTATTTCACTGTTGAAACATTTTTATTATATTGGTTAATATTGTTAAATTTAAATTCTAAATAATATTTTATAAAATATCAAAACAATCAAATAATTTTGTGTAATTAAATTATTAAATTAATATTGTAGGTGGGTGAATTTAAAAGAGAAGCAGTTATAGCCTATAATGTGTCGATACTTTAAAAAAATATCGATCCACAACGATATAACAGGTAAAATTATGATAAAACCGGTAACAAATGATAAACCGGTAAAATGATACCGGATATATTGAAAGTGTCGACACTTTCGTAGTACGTGTAATAAATTATAGACACTTTCAAAGAAATAGTAATTATCCTTTCGAAAGTATCGACACCTGACATAAAATGACATAAAAGTATCGACACTTTGTATTGTATCGATTAAAATAAATAACATATCCGATGAAATATAAAGGCCATAGCTAAATATCCTCTGAAAAAGATAGAACGGA